TACCTAGACTAGCCTTTGGCACTGGCGTGTGTGTGTGTGTGTGTGTGTGCGTGTGTGTGTATTTTTATAGGTATTTTTATCCTGTGGATGCCGATACAATGGAGAGTATCAGTGGGTGGATGTTTGTACCTGGCCTGGGCATTTAGCTCAGGTGACTATGCACACAGGCTTTCTTGGCACAGGGTTCAAGATTCTCCCCAACAGGCCCAGGAAATGGGGAGCAGGGTGTGTCTACATCTGAGAGGAAGTGGCAGGGGCAGTAGTCTCTGACTACCCCAAGGCATAAGCTGGTCTTTGGGCCTATTTCACTCATTAGACCATAGTGCCAACCCCTTCACAAACACACTCTCAGTTCTGGTGGGAGCCTTCTGCCCTCTCCCCAGGCCATCTGTGAGCCCCTACCTTTACTTTATCCTCCACTAAAGATCAAAGAACAGAAAGGGCTAAACTTAGAACCCCAACTCAGGACAACTCCTTATGTACAGATGTGTTTTCAAAATGTTGAGAAAAAAAAACAAAAAAACCCCAAAATGTTGAGAACAGAAATCTAAGAAAGGGTGAGTGTTGCAGCAAGAGTGTTCCGGGAATGAGGACACAGAGAAAGGAACCTGAAAACCTCTGCTTCTCTGTCTGCAATTCCCAGATAGCTTTCCTTTCCCCAAGTGGTGGGGCCCTTCAGTAGATAGGATGCCTACAGAGCCCTGTGGCTGGGATTAGGATTTGTGCATGTGTTGGAAACAAGTTGGAGGCGTGAGGATCAAGGAGTGTCTGTGGTCCACCGGCTGCCTCTTCCAACAAGCTGTCCACTAAGAATGTAATTCATAGCGGTCGATGGGCTCTTTGATTAGTTCAATCGCCTGAATAATCGTTTAATCAATAAAGCATTTCATTCCCCCAGGAGCTGGACTGGGTGGGGATGGGGGCTGCTTAGCAGGGCTGGAGTTTAAAGTCCTGAGAGCCACGCCCCTTCCTCCAAGAAGGGTTGTAGTAAGGACCACTTTCTCTGGGAAAGGGTGACAGCTCATGTGATCCTGCACTTCTGCCCGGCAGCACAGGTCTGGACCCCCGCTGGGGAAGAGGGAGAAGGCTGCGGAGCAATCCAGACTGGTGCTAAAGGGGTGTCTGTGTCTGTTTGCTTTGAGGCCTTCTCCTCTCTCCCAGCTTCTAGACCTTTCATAGGTCACCAGACGTCCCTTTTCTTCCTTAAGAACCATTTTTCGTTCCTTCCCCCAACTTTAGACTCCTCATCCGTACAATGGTAAGAGAGTAGGTCCTTCTGGCTAGGTCAGCAGTTAGACAAGGTCAGCAGTCAGCATTTAAGGATTCCACACACCCCCTGCCCACCCCCACCCCCGTCTCTTCCTTATAGTATGAGAACAGAAAAAAAAGCATTTCAGAGAGGGCAGAAACTTAGGGAGATCATAAAGCAGAGTTTAAAGTGGGAATGGGTTTGGAAGGAGATCTCTCTGCCCTTAGACTTCTAATTCCTGCTGGGGGAGAAAATAGCTCCCCCGCCCCACTCATGGATGCCTATTGCAGAAAAACTACTATTAGGCAAGTAACTGCAGTGGGAACTCTTGAGTCCCTAGGCCCGGGAGACCTAGATAGGCTGAACACGTTCTCAGTGGGCACTAGTATTCAGTCTCAGAACTCTGGAATGAGCCCAGGATGAAATGATACTGCTATTCCCATCGATAGAACTTCATCTCACAGAGCTTTGGGAAGTGGGATCTCAGAGGTTCTCTGCATTAGCTGCACAAAAAGCTAAGGCCTTAGGAAAAAGGGCTGCCCAGTCCTAAGGGTGTGTGTGTGGGGGGGTGTGGGGGTGTGGTTTGTCCTGGTGTTCCTGTTCTGCAGAAGTGGGGGGAAATGGGGACAGATTGGTAACAATAACAAACTCCAACACAGGCAGAGTACACTTTCAAAAAATCAGTTGAGTTCTTCTCTGTCCCTCTTCAGCAACTCCTGCAAACAGAGCTGAGCTGAGTAAGGCAGTTCTTCATCAAGGTGAAAGAATCATGCAGGAATATCTGTGCCCTGACTTGGTGTGTAATTGCACATCAGTCGCTTTTCCTCTTTGATGCTTTTTAAAAGGAAGGTTAAAGATAACCTATCAGGTCAGAACAGTAATGCACAGGGAATCTCTGATCTTTCCCAAACTTAGCAACCCGTCTAAGCCCTGTAAAGTCGCCTTTTGCCCCAAGTATGAACAGGGAAATAGGCTGGACTTGGGTTGCAGGAACTGATCTCAGGCTTGTAGTAGAGCATTGCAGTAACCCCAGTATCCTGATACTACTGTTACCCTGTGAGTTGGAGGGAGTGGTAAGAAAGCCAGGAGGAGTGTGTGTGTGTGTGTGTGTGTGTGTGTGTGTGTGTGTGTGTGTGTGTGTGTCCCCAAATGAGGTCTCTGGCTACAGAAGGAGGTGGACCCTTTCAGAAAGGTGCTCTCAAACATTATTCTCAATAGGCTTTCTTCCAATAGCAAACTTTCCAAGGCCGTTCGATTTGTATAAATTGGGTTGCTTTTTGGGTGGTTTTCGTTCTAAGTTTCAGCCCCAGGGGGCCTAGCATAGCACTGTGCCCAAAGCTTTGTTGCTGGGAGAAGGAAGCAGGGCGACTTTCACTGGGCAATGTTGGACCACGTTCAGGTTCAGTGCGCCAGCGATACTTGTTCCTTGGTAGTCTTTTTCTCCTAGTTCCAGAATGCAGCTCCTGGGCGTTCTACGGAGGAGAACCCAGTTCCGCCAAGGAATAGCTGTGTTATCTCTGACTAGTCATGTAACTTCTCTGGGCTGCCGTTTGGTGACCTGTAACGCTCTGTAGGTGGCCACGATATGCGGTGTGGTCGCGCCTTTGGGGGTTAAAAGTTCCCGAAGGGTATCTTGCTCCGGGCGGGGCAGGGGCGGGGAATAATCTCCAGTCGGAAACTTCATTTTCCCCAAACACGGTGAAGTTGGAGAGTTAGCAGCTTACTCCATACTGGTGAGGCTGGTCCTGTGAATTGGGGTTCCTGCCAAGGACAAACACCTGCTGTGCGAAAAGGGGATTCCGTGCTGCTCCTGTCGGGATAATACCTACAGTTTCACCCTGTCCCCAAAATGCCCCCGGCGAATGTCTATGCCGCTCAGGAAAAAGAGCTTTTTTAGGCATTTCCCAGCGGGGTTCTTTGATTTGTCAGTATCCTTCCTTCCCCAACAACATGCAGCCATGCGGAGAGGTCTAGAAAGGCACTTAGAAAGATTTCCAGCCCATCATCTTTCTTCTGCCCTGGACTTACTGTGTGTGTGAGCTTGGACAAGTCACATAATTCCCTCCTGGCCTCAGGTTCCACATCGGTAAAATGGGAAAAAGCACAACCTCAGAACTCTTTCAACTCTAAGATGCTAAATCTGAGTGTGTAGTAGGCACAAGCTCAAAAAGTAGGGCCAGGGGTGGGGATGTCACTTGCTTCCTGTCTCAGAGCATTCCCACACTCCTGCCTGTCCAGTGAGAAAGCAGGACTGTGACCTCAAGTCTGGCCTGGGGCTCTCAATTCTAGTAATTTCTGATCCACAGGGCATCAACAGATGGACCTAACACAGGAACCTATGTCCATCCCAGTCCTTTTCCTGTTTGATCTTCTTGCTCCAAGGCAGAGGTAGGATTGGGGTCACAGATCCAGACTGGTGGGGTTTCAGACAAAGGAGAGATAATACCTCTACTTCACCCCACCCCATCCCACACTGAAGCCTCTTGGGTCTCTAGGGGCCCCCACTGGGCCGTTTGCTGCAGCTGTGCCCTGGCAGATATTATGTCAGGGACTGGTGTCTCAGCACCGGAAACTTGTCTACCGGTTAGGGGCAGCTGGGTTTAGGACAGCCACAGAAAGTGGGCCCCAAGGCAGACCCAGTATAGAGGTGGGGGGGGATGTGGTAGGGGAAAAAGAGGGAAAGACTGGCCGAGAGTGAAGCCAGTGGGTGACCGGGGAGTCTTCTCAGGATCACCCTGTGCTCTGTTCTCCTTACAAGCCTATATCTATAGTGGGCATCTCTGAATCCTCGTTTTGGTGGATTTGTGTTTAATATTAGAGAAATATCACTTAAAAATTAAAAATTGGGGCCATTGCCATGAGCTGCTGGGAAAGGAGAATGTTGCTAAGGCTAGGCCCTTGCACACCGTAGGGCTCATAGAACTGTAGCCTCCTAGATGAGGAATGGCTGACACATGGTTCCTTTTCAAGGTTCAGTTACTTTGTAGTTCTAGAGACTTACACTCCTGAGAAATAGACTCCCTGGTTAAAGACCTCTTTTTGGTCAGGAAAGTAATGCTAGAAATCCATCCATTTTGCATAAAAGCTGAAGTACCTTCTCCAGGAAGGGGAAGGTCAGATTTTCCCAACTTCTGGAAGCTGCAGCTGAACACGTCTGTCTGCTGGCAGAAGCAATTCTGTCTCCAGCACAGGCCTCTTGGAAATCAAAGAAGCCTGGTCTCCAGTGCTAATGAGGGTCCTAGAAGCAGTCAGTGGTATTCTATCTGCAAGGGTCCGGTGAAGTGGTGCCAGTGGTGCTAGAATGCTGCAGCTTTCAAAAGGCCTGTGCTGGAGGCAGAATTGCTTCTGCCAGCAGACAGACATGTTCAGCTGCAGCCCTCAAAACCTGTGCCAGCTCCTGGTTTGGGGATGGAAAGAGGGCTTAGTGCTCTGTCTTGGTGCAGCCTGATCCAAAGCTGTAGAGTAGCTTCTTCCCTGAGGAAGGCTTTGGTTACTAACTTTAAAGGAGTAAGAGATAGCCTTTTCCCCAGTTTGCCTTTGGTTAATGCAGAATTGGTAGTCTTGAAGATAAAGTGAGGGAAGTGAGAGGACAAAGAGGAAGTGGCTGTGGTTTAGTAAGTACTTAATAAAATTGAGAAATATTTCTGCTGGAAGGAGCCTTCATCACAAACTGGTTAACTGCCCATTTTACAGATGAGGAAAATGAAGTCAGAACTGTCAGGTATCTGCACACTGTGAGTCTATCACTTACACTGAACGCGGGATTTCTTCTGCTCTCCATGTCTTCCTCCAACATCCATGGGTGATTTTGTTTTGTTTTTCCTTTTGGAGTCTCTCCTTACTCTCACCTTCACCCTCACCCTCACCTTGGTTGCCCCCAACATCTCAGGGAATCCCAGGATCCCATTGCCAAGATGAGGGGGTAGGGCTCGTGCGAGATCAGCTACGGGACTCTCCCAGTACTGCGTGGGCCCTCTGCCCCTTCCCCTGCCCCCATCAACCATCCACTAGGCCTTGGCCCCGCGTGTTTGTCAATGAACGTGGCGCCGCCGCTTGGGCCCCGCCCCCCATTCTTTCTCATTGCCCAGGTATCCGCTAATCAGGCGGAGCCCGCGGGTTGTTTAGCCAATGGGGCAGTGTTTCGGGCCAGGACCTGAAGCTGCCATTCTGATTGGCTCAATTGGGCATGATTGGCAGGTTAACCCCCGCCCCGCCCCCTCCCGGAGGGAGGCTGAGCCCCGGGCGGCGCTGTCCACACGCAGCGGGTCCTGAAAGCGGCTCCGGGGCGGCGCGGTGGCGCACTGTGCGCGCCGAGCAGGCGGAGGGCTAGCGCCGGCGGCAGGAGCGTCAGCGTGGACAGTCAAAGCCGGCAGTGGCTTCATCTCAGCACCGACAGTCCCGGCGGCCTTGGTAGCGGGGGCCCTCCGGCTCCCTCCTCAGTCCCTCGCTCCTCGCCTGGGGCGGGCGCGGCGCTGTCCCGGAAGAGGCTTCTGGAAGGCAGTCCGAGGAGACCCCGAGGGCGGGCAGAGGGCTCGAAGAGTTGGCCGGCGTGAGGCAGAGAGCCAGACGAGAAGGAGCCGGTCGCGGTTGTCCCCATTCCTGGTCCCAGCGATGGGGGAACGGCGGGGGCCGCGGGAACTTTGAAGGCAACGGGTTCCAGGGTTTGAGGCTTGCCAGCTCCTGCGGAACTCCGGCGGCTCTCGGCCACGCCAGCAGAGGCGGAAGCATCTCTGAGCCCACCGGGGCCCCTGTGCGGCTAGAGAAGTTCTTTGCAACTTCGTCCCAGACGGCTGAGAGCCAGTTGCAGAGAGGCTGAGGGGGCAAGTCGGAGCCCCAGGGACTCAGAAAAGCAGAGAGAGAAAGGACCTGGAGGAGACGGAGGGAGCGAGGAGGGATCCTAGAGCAGCGAGGCCGCGGAACCAGTCTGGCATCCCGCGAGCCTCGCTGCTCCCTGAGTGCAGCTAAGGACCGTGTGCTCCGGTGGCCTTTGCTCAGAACAGCTCCTGCCGGGGATAGGGGGCTCCTAGTCGACCTGGAGGTGGGCCCCTACGCTATGTGCCCGAAGCCGCCGGTGCACTGGCCGCAGCTACCCGCGGCTGGGCCGGGAGCCGCCGCTTGAGCCAGCCAGGGAACGAAGCCGGCAGAGTTGGGCGCCGGCTCCCAGACTGTGCTAGCGCTGTTTCCCGCCTCTGCGCAGTACTCTACAATCTTTGGCAGGGAGACTCTGAGAGTGACCTCAGGTTCCGGCGGTGTTTTCTGCTCGGCTCGCACGGTGCCCGGCCTGGTGGCGTGGTTCCCTAGCCGCCCTGGGCAGCCCCTTGGCGCCGGGAGGCGGAGGCGTGGGCCGGCCTGCAGTCTGGAGCGCCCCGATGGAAATACACTGTAAGCACGACCCGTTTGCATCCATGCATAGTAAGTAGGCGGCGAGATCGCTTCTCTCACTCTCCAGCCGGGATCGGGTTGCGGGTATCCGACCGCGGGGCAGGTACTGAGGCCGGGAGAACCCCGGACCTCTGTGGCTGCATAGCCAACTTTGCCAAGTGCAAGGGCTCCTAAGCGGGGGACATGGAACAATGCGCCTGGACGCACTTGCCCGAACACCTGGTCTGGGAATCCCGCCTCCAGCAACTCCAGCATAGGCAGTCCGCTGCAGCCTTCCTCGGGCTCCAGCAGCGACAACTCCGAGCATCCACAGAACCTTGCTTCAGGACTTGTAGAGGGCTTAGGGCTGGCCCAGCTGGAGGGCAAGAAGTTATAGTGAGAGGTCAGTCTGACTCTCAGACAGTGCCCCACACCCCATTCCTGACGGCGCCTTTTTTCAGTCGGTGCTGATCAAGACTAGTACTTGGAGGGAAAGTGGATTCCTGACCAGTTCCCGAATGTGTGAAGGAAGACGTTGAGAGCTAAGAGAGGACAAGAGATCCGAGGCTCCAAAGGCAACCTGGAGTTAAGGAGGGGGGTTTGAAAAATCAACGAAGTCTGGGTCCCTGAGCTAATCTTTGGTTTAGGAGGCTGCCAGTTCATACAGAGACCCTTAAGGATCCCATTGGGTCCTTCTCTGTAGGATGCCTGGTTCATGATGGCTCCTTCCCTAGAAAGAAAGGAGAGAGGGAGAGAGAGAGAGAGAGAGAGAGTAAGAAAAGCCAATTAGTCACCACACAGGCGCTCCCCCCCTCTCTTCTGAAAGCGGAGGAGTGTGTAGGAGACGGGAAGGGTCATTTCGGGCGAGGGCAAGGCCTTCCTGGTTGCCTAATTCAAGGGATCCTGCCACTTCACCCATAGCACACCCGCCAGTGAGATGAGCGCTCCTCTCACGGTGAGTTAACGCCAGATTAGATTCGGAGATTTCAAGGAAATTCCAAGCGGAACGAATCATGTTTTCCTTCTGTTGGCTGGAGAACAGGCTGGGGAAAGCGCCAGGCTTTGGCAGCCTTCAGCCGGATGCCAGGCTCGGATCTCTGCTAGCTGCAGGTCAGGGAGTTGCTCCCTGGTTAGGAGCTCTCTCCAAGCTCTGCTCCCCTCAGATAATCAGGGGTCTGGCTTCCCTAGCCACTGGTCCCCTATTTAACAAAGGCAGCAGAGACCCGGTTGGAGAGAAGGCGAGCTTCCAGGGTGAGAATGTCTGTGTCTTCCACGGAGGGCCGAGTGGCCTGGCAAGCAAGGGAAGGCTTGTCTAGGCAGCGGGGCTGGCTACAGGCAGGTCAGTTTCTCTTTGTGTCGGTATCCCAGAGTCGGAGGTAATTCTCCAAAGCAGTGGGGCGTTTTAGTGAGGAAAGCCGCTTGCTCTGGTCCCAGCCCACGCAAACGATTCTTCACGGTTTGGGGCCAGGGCTCAAATGGCTTCCAGTTCATGGTGACCCCGGCGACCTCCGCAGTCTTTTCCTGCTCAGACTTGAGCCTGGCTCTGGAGAAGCAGCTCTGGTCTTATAGAGTGAATCAGAGAACAAATGAATTGGGGGTAATATTCTGAGAGATGCAAGCCCTTGGCTCAGTCAAGAAGTAACTGGGGAATAAGATGTGGAGGATTGGCCTCTGTGCTTCTCCTTGCTGGCAGGAATTCACAGGCCTCCCTGCTTCCTTCTGCCCTGTGCTGAGTTGCTCAGAGGTGGTGTCCCAGCCCTTGGGAGACAGCACAAGACTTGGTGGTCTCCTCGATGTGCATCAGTACGGAGCTTCTTGCAGGTGCTGGTTAACGAACTGCTAATGTCTGTGCCTCCTTTGCCTTGGCCTTCAGTCCGTCCCAGCTTTCCTTTTCCATTTCCTTGGCCGCACAGTGGGGGCTCGGCCCCAGCCAGGCTAGTTTTCAAAGTTGGTGGAAGTTCTTGGTTTCTTTAGAAAAAGCTTTGGTTCTGGCACCCAAAGCTGTTTGCTTGCACAATATAGGCCTGCTTTGGTGCCCAACTTGTGGACGATAAGGGTGGGATGGGGCAGATGGATCCTGGGAGATGGCTGGGGTAAAAGTTGGGGCTTGGACAGTGTCCCACTTCTTCATTTTCCTGCTGCTGGTCAGTCCCCGACTCACTGCAGGATCAGTTCTGTGAAGAGGGCCAGGTACTGCCAGGAAATGGGCTTATGAGTTCAAAGCTGGCCCTCCTCTTATAACATGTTCATCATTCACATCAGCACAACAGCCTCCTCTAAGATGTTTCCTTCTCCCAAGCATCTGTACCAGTTACAAAGGATTTCTGTAACCAATACCCTACCTGAGTGTCACCCAGACCTTCAGTTATACCCATTTTTTAGAATATGATACTGAGGTCGGAGAAATAAAAGGATTGACAAAAGTTCATATGGGTAAAGCTGGAGCTGCTTCTTAGGTCTCCCTGGCATAAACACTGGGCTCTGGAGGATTTGTGGATGTGGAGACAGGACTCAGACTCCAGAGAGGGCAGTGGACTGTGAGGGTGAGTACACTTGTGCAAGGCTCTCACTCTGTGTAATCCAACCATATGTGTCCACAACCCCACTTTTCATGTGTGTCAGCACTTATCTACCCTTTGGAGAGTCCACTGGGGAGATTTCATCCTTGCCCTTTCCCTGCGCTTCTGTTTGCATGTCTGTGTATACCTCTCTGGTGAATCTAGGAGGAATTTCAATGACCCTGTGGGTCCTGTAGTTCAATCCACAGCTGAGTCAGCAGAGACCCTCCCCTCGGGATGTTATGGACAGCCGCTGTCTTGGAGTGGGCAGGGCTTTGATGTGCAGCATGTCCTTATCAGGCCTTGAGTAGCATCTGTGGAAGCCAACCCCTTCCAGACTAGAGCCACAAAAGCCCTAAGGGCATCTTCAATTCAACCCTTCTTCCTCCAGTTCTCTCCAAATCCAGTTCTGACTGCCCTGTGGAAGCTGGTTTGTTTCCCTTGTATCTGTTTCCTATTTTTGAACTGATTTATGTGTTCATCTCTGCCAGTCTCTCACTAAATTGTATTTTTTTCTGGAAAGATTAACACTTTTTCAATAAATGAGTCTTCACCTAGCTACAGTCCACAGGAAGTAAAAGCCGGGACTTGGGTTCTCCAACAACATATAGAGCTGGAGTTGGGAGCCCCAGGAGCACAAAGGTCCCCCTTTACAGAAGTCTCTGTCTTGCAGATACCTCCTTCCTAGGCTTTTTCTATTTTCTCTTCTGTTCTTCGCCATCCTGATTTTTTCATTCCTTTTCCTCTCCTCTGCCTGCCTAATCTGCTTTCTTTCCAAGATCTCTGTCTTTGCTGTCTGTCTTGTGTAGTTCTTACTCTTTGCAACCTTTCCACATATTTCTCTTTTCCTCTTTTCTTCCCTTGTCCCACCTCCTCTCTCCCAGACTTTCATCTTCCTTTCTTTCCAATCCCAGGATCAGTGACTTACCTCAAACCACAGCTGTAAATTTCCTCACTGACACTCTTGAAGAGCTCCGTTGGATAAGGACTTTCCCTTCTCTTTCTTTTCCTTTCTCTTTCTTTCTTTTTTCCCATCTTTCCTTCCTTCCTTCTTTTCTTTTTATTTTTTAAATATCTGAAATGTTTCAGAACAACCGTAACTGATTAAACCTGATTTTGAAAATCAGAGAAAAATTCAGCATAGAACTGGAACTAAATACTGCAGGTATCTATGCAATTGTGTGCGGTTTTAAAATAAGCGTTCAGCTTGGAAATTTTGGAAAATATTTGTGGAAACTTCAGTGGATTGTTCGGTTACTTTTAAGGATGTGGTTATGCTATACATGTTTTTGCCTCCTTTATTTTAGATGTTGTTGATGAACGTGAGTAGTAGATGAGTGCTGAGGGAAAATGGCTGAGATGAGGTGGCTCTTTTATGTTTTAGAGTATGAGTGCTGTGGCATCCCATATGCAGTGCCCAGTTAAGGAGGAGGTTTCCTCCTGCTTTGCTTCTGAGCTGCCAGCAGCATCACTGTATGCCTGGACTTAGCTTTTGGCTCCAATCCCCAGCAACATCAGTTAGTGGCTGATTAACAGCTACAAGGTCAATGATGTTCCTACATTGGATCACTTTATGTTTCCCGGTGTGGCTTTTCAATTTACGTAGGTCCTTGTCTCCCTCTAGACGGTCTGTGATGTAAGAGAAAGGAACGTGTGCATGGACTCCTTTTACTTAAAACCCATCCCAGAGCTGTTGTAAAATCTGGGACTCAGAAGCTTTCTTCAGTTCCTTTATCCACACTCACCCCCCTCTAACCAACTTAAAGCAGCTTGTCAGTTGCAAAGCACTCCAAAAATTCCAGGGAAATGCTTTTATAACAAGTCTCGATGCAGTGAAGTGGAATGTGCTGTGTGTAGAAGATCCTATGACCCATTTCTTTTGTGTGCTCTGAGAGGGTACAGTGGTCAAGTCTGCATGTCAACCTCACCTTCTTAAAGGGCTTAAAATTTTTTTTAATTAAGACAGTGGTTAGGTTTTGTTTCAGTAGATACTCTGCAGATACTATTACATTTTTAAAAAGTCCTTAGCCCTTAAATTAGATTGAATTGATTTAAAACATTTTTTTCCTGAGATGATATACTGATATAGTCCTTTTTATTTTCAAAAATATTTGTTAGAAAGAGAAGAGTTGGGTTTTTTCCTCTTTACATTTGCCGTATTTTAAAACATAATTTTTCCCCTGTATGATCTTTCTTAGACTTAAGCATGATGTAGTCAGTTGTTCCTCTCTGTAATCTATAGTTAGTATAGATTGGGGTCTTCCAATATTTCATTGTTAAAAACACTTATGAGGAAAAGTCTAGTAATTAAGGGAAACATGGTTTCTCTTCAGGTCGTATAAATCTTTCACCTTTTAAAGGAAACATAGTGTGGTGAAACTTGCTATCAACAGCTCAAGTAACTGGCTGCAGATGGACAAAGGCTAAGATTAATTTAAAAAAGCAATCTAGGGCCCTCATGTACGCACAATTGGATTTCAGGCTCACAAAACACCCAGCCTGCTTGCCATTTGTGAACGGAGGGATTTTGGGTTTCTGTTATGTGACTGGTTCTAACTACCCTTCCCCTTGCCTTTTGTTTCTGATCTGTTTCAGGACATGGAGGAGTGAATCAGCTTGGGGGGGTTTTTGTGAATGGACGGCCACTCCCGGATGTAGTCCGCCAAAGGATAGTGGAACTTGCTCATCAAGGTGTCAGGCCCTGCGACATCTCCAGGCAGCTTCGGGTCAGCCATGGTTGTGTCAGCAAAATTCTTGGCAGGTAAAGGCAGGAGCTCTAGGCTTCCCTTGATCTTTCAAATAAAAACCTAAAAGATGAACCAGCAACTATCCAATGTGCCCATATCATAGTGAGGATCATTGTGGCATTTGCCCTCTGTGCATAGCACTTTAGAGGTTAGAAAATCTTTCTGAAGCCATCCAATTCAAAGTAGTCCTGGGAAACCCCTGTCTCAAGTAACATGTGGAATACGGTGACTAGGGAGGGACTGGTTTCCGAAAGCTTGGGGAATTATTATAAAGAACACAAGAATAAGAAACGCTCGGGAATTTCCCCTACACATCTTAGGTGGCTTAGGACTCTGGGCAGGGCTGGATGGAGACTCTAATATCACACAACAAGAGTTCAGAGTTCAGTGTTTCCTTTTCTTTTCTTTTATTTCTTCTTTCATTTTTTTGGTGGGGGTATTGAAACCAGGGCCTTGTGCATGGTTAGCACGTGCTCGACCACTGAGCTATAGCTGCAGCCCTCAATGTTTCATTTTAACATTTTCAAAAAAGCATATTCTACTTTCAAAAGTCAGTGTTCATTTTCAGTTTTGGGTTATTATCAGCCTTATTAAGTTGAACTGCAGTATTTTCTTATATATGTTTTGTTTCTTTGTAGTGACAGGCATCCTAAGTGTGTATTAAATTAGGAAAAAAGGAAACTGGGAAATGCTAACTTTCAAATCTCACATTTGAAAATTGATATTTGACCGAGTGATTTGCTGCAAGTGAAATACTAACAATGAGGAGTCTCCCAAAGGGCTGTATAGTGTTACTTTTAGTGTTACTGTTTATTTTCTCAGTGGCCTCGGCTCGATCCAGTCAAGCATGTTTTCAGATGAGGAAACCTAGTGTGCTGGAGTGACTGACCCAGGTTTATCTGGCCAGCATACGCGGGCCTAGCTCGTCAATGCTTTCTATTTCTTCTCCCAGGCCACAAAACAACCTTTGTCCTGTAGCTTGCATTACAGTTTGAGAACAGGTGCCTGAATAAAAAATAAATATTCTAAAATATGTCAGTGACATTATGATTTTTGCTTGCCTTTTTCCTTCCATTTGTTGAAATTCAAGAAATGCTCACAGATGGAGGGAACAGCAGTGTCAAATAATCTTACAGAGTCTTGCTCGAGGTCAAAGGAAGGAATTTCAGGGCCAAGAGTCTGGTAGTTTCTTTAGGGTCCTTGATCCCTGTGTTTGTTTCTCCTCTCTCTGCTCGGCACAGGTCACCTCAGCTGTGCAGGCTGAGGGTCCGCTCTTGTTTAGCACTCAGCTCGCAAATGAGCCCTAGCCAGAGTTCAGAGAGTACTGCAGGAAGTCAGCCTAGTGTTCTTGTTAGATGGTGGCTTTAAACAGGAGGATGAGAACCGAGAGTAGCAGAAGAAAGTAGCAAACACAGAGGTAGGGAAAAGATAGAGAAGACAAAGAGGAAAACAAATGGCTTTAAATTGAGAACTAGAGATAGAGAAGCAAATACAAGATAAGAGAGAGAAAAAGAGAGAAAAGAAATATTTTAGGCTATCTCAGCATCAGACTTTGAGAGCTAAAAGTGTCTCAGATATATCTTCTTTTGAAGCTTCTTTGTACTGAGGGAGAGGGAGACAGAAAGAAGGCCCTTTCTTTGTTTTTGCTGAGACATCTTTGCTGAGCCGACATTTTGCTCGCTGTTTGAAATCTTCGAGATACGGAGCCTTTCTCTGAGGGGACATCCAAGTGCTCCAGTCCTCACATTCTGCTGTCCCATGGAGACTAAGGGGGACAGAGACCTTTCCAAGCCCTGGCAGCAGCCTCCCGCGTTCCAGAATAGATTTGTCACTAGGTAGAGTGGCACTTGGAAGTTATGCGCCGCTCTGGTGCCTGGCCGTTTAAGTTGTCAACAATAAATTGGAATTTCATAGCTCATTATTTTCATAACTAAGAACTACAGTGGACAAAATGTCACTCTAATTAGAACTGCCTTTTAAGAAACAAGTTCAGCCCTAAAATAGTGTGACTGGGAATTTCTGAATTGGTGCTCTCCCATCCACAGATTTTTTTTTTGGTCACTAAAGAATTTGATGGGACAGATTTTAGACAGCATGTGGTGTGTGTGGCGGTTGTGCTTTGCAGAGGTTGTGTGGCAAGGCAAGCAAAGTCCCTGGGGCGGGCAGGCAGGACCCCTGTCCCCTCAGGAAGGTGGGCGGTCTGCCAGGACTGTGGGCATTCAGAGCACAAGGCTGTGGAGGGGCTGGAGAGGCACGACTTGGTGGCATGTGAGGCTGAGTTAAATCCACCCCAAGCCTGGCTGTTGTTGTCTCTCAGTGGAGCTTGGTTATTTGGAATTGGGTGGTGTGTTAAATAATAAAAACAAACATTTTAATCCTCAACTTGTGCTCTTTATTTTATGCTTTGCAAAAGCTTTTTCATAACTGTTTGGTATTTATGTCTTCACAACAGCCCTACAATCAGACAGGGCAAACACCTTCCCGCTATGCTATAGGTGAGATAACTGAAGCTTAGAGAGGGTAAGTGAATTGGCCAAGATCACACAGCCAAATGAGTGTCAGAGCCACTCACAAACATCCACTTGCCTCCCTAACCAATGCTGTCTGCACTGAGGGGCGCTGCGTGTTGGTGGCTGCTGTATGTCTTTTGTCTGTGAGCCAAAAGGCTGCACGGCTGTTTTGCTGAGATGAAAAGAGGGTTATTAAGTCTGAATCCTCACTTGACACAGTTGCGAGTTGGGGTTTCAGGAGTGTCAGTGCTGCCTTCCAGAGGCCTGGCCCACGTGTCAGTCAAAAGGGAGACAGAGATCTCTCATTGCAAGACTACGGCCTCCTATGGCTGGCACTGCTCAGGTGGGATGGGTGCGGAACTCTGCACCCTGTCACCTGCCAGCCATGTATTTGGGGGGGGATCTTCATCCTGCCATTTTCCCGTTGCTGTGTGAATGGTGCAGTCCCATGTGATGATCGTATTTTGAATATCTAACAGAGGATTGCCTATATCTGTAACTCCTGCCCTGAGACTGTCCCTGTCCTAACAGGCATTTTTTGACTATTCAGTGTATGAATTAAAGATGATCTCAAAGGATTGGTATAAGGATCAAGATAATTTGAAGAAGAGCACTGTAAACTGTAGAATGTTGTGCCTAGATAATGGGTTGTCACATTATAGTAGGAATGGACTTTCTGTTGTAAAATTGGCAGGACAATTGGAGGCTGCAGAGATTGTTGTGCACCTGGATTTAGATCTTTTCTAGATTTCTAGCAAAAAAAAAAAATTTAGAATATTTTGAGAAACCTGTTGTGACTAATAATTTACTAGCAAATTACAGAAAATTGTTTTCAACACTTTTTCAGGAAGAGAAAGGATAGACTGAGTTTTGTTTTATGGTCAAATTTTGTATGACTCTTCTCAATGAAAAATAGAATTTTGACTTCTAGATCACTGTTCCTCAATTATTTCTTTCCTTCTAGAATATTCACTAACGTGGCTATAAACAGACTAACTCAAGTTGATAATTGCAACACCTATGAATGTTACCAGTTACTGTTCCTGGGTAATATTTCTACCCATTCCAGGATTATCTCATACCCTTACCTCTTGTAAACTTTTGTTAGGTTAAAACATCCCTGTTTATTTCTAAAATATCTTTTGGTTAAAAAATTCCAACTGTAAGATAATCTCTTTTAGAAGAGGACCCCCACCATTTCTCTGTAAATACTGAGAGAGACGTTCAGTGATGGCTTATATTTAGAAAAAGCATCGAGTTATTTTTTTTTTTCCCCTGAAATGATCTTTCATGGCATTCTTCTCCCTGGTCTCGGTTTTACTGTAAGACCCTGACATCCTATTTGCGTTAACGAGGAAAAGCTGATAGCATGGAAATGTCCTTAGAAACAGCCATTTACCTCAAGGGAGGCCCCTGAAAAAGCTGCCGAGACTTGTGGTTGGTTTTTCTGATTGCTTAGGTTTTGACTTCCAAAACACATTTTCTATTAATTCTGGAATCTAACACTCCTTTTAATTTGACACTAGGGTTATTATTTTTCTTTATGGGACAATAGACTGCATTTTAGTGGACAGTTTCACAGTATCTTGGGGTTTCTAAGGGATAGGACAGCTGGCAAATCAAAGATCTAAGTCACTTTCTTGGGGAAATTTTAGTTCGAGAGTTATACTCACAGTTCTAGCTTGGCTACTTATTCTTGGGTGACCTTGAGGAAGCCATTTAGCTGCTATGAATCTCTTTTCATTTGTTCATTTACTCTTTCATTCATTTAAAAGTTTATGTGTATTAGAACTATTGAGGATCAAATGGGAAAGCTGACTTGAAAATTCTCTGTAAACTGTAAAATGGTAGATGCATGTGAATCAGTTTTTGTCAATATGTAGCACCCTACCAGTGATATCCTAAAAGAAGTATGTGTCATGTATTAAATAAAAAAAATTTTTAGTAACACATGAAGGGAAGTGAAAAAAGATATCATTAATTTTGATTGCATATTTTATTTAACACGATATTCAAAAATTGTCATGTCGACCTACAACCAATATAAAAATTATTAGTGAGGTATTTACATTTTTATACCAAGTTTTAGAAATCTGATTTGCGATTTACATTTGCAGTGCATCTCAATTCATACTAGCCATATTTCAAATGTTCATGTATTTTGCTGATTCCTTGTGGCTAACCTGTTTTCTCTTTGGGTCCTAGGTATTATGAGACAGGAAGCATCAAGCCTGGGGTAATTGGAGGATCCAAACCAAAGGTTGCTACGCCCAAAGTGGTGGAAAAAATTGCTGAGTACAAACGCCAAAACCCCACCATGTTTGCCTGGGAGATCAGGGACCGGCTGCTGGCAGAGCGAGTTTGTGACAATGACACAGTGCCCAGCGTCAGTTCCATCAACAGGTGAGGGACCAGTGCTTGTGGGGGTCTGGGGATCAGACTGGGGGTCCTGAATATTTTGTGTATATCTTCCCTGAAGATCTGGCTGCCTCTTTGATCAAAGCCCCCTATGGGTTAGTGAAGAGGGATGCTAATGGGGCCTGCTGGGTCTCTGTCTCCTTTCTCTTCTCTCTAAAGTGGGCAGAAGTTGTAGGCCCAGGGAGAGAAGACTACACCAATAGCCTGGTTGCCTGATGTAAGCCCACAGTGATTTCCATCACTCCCTTCACCATCCAGCTGTGTGGAGCACTTGGCAGTGAAGTCCTGCCTTCACAAATGTCTTTGTCCTTGCCAGCCACGGCTGAATGTCTTACCACTGGCTTATGTCAGTGGTTTCCAGGAAGAAAATCCCGCCTCCAGTTTGGACAGAGGTAGAGCCAGTGAATGTAGTAAGCAAAGCTTTCACTTGGCGTTGGGTGTTTTGGTTTCTGCTGTGCCACCAACTGGAATTAGGACCCTGATGACTTGCTCTGAGAGCCCAGGACCCTGGTGGTCCTGTTGTGGGTCTTCTGTCTCCATGGAGGAAATTTAGGAGGCTAAGATGCTACAGAGTGAGGGAACTCCCTGTCCAAAACTCCCCCAAATCTTATCTATGGGGAGAGAGAGAAACATCAGGGTACCAGGCACAGCATCTTTATGGGAGCCACAATGACTTCCCCTCTTCTCTAGGCTGCTCCAAGCTACAGTGAATGGAACTCTCAGAGCTTTAAGAATAAAATTAATTTTTATTTATTTAATTATTTATTTAGCATTGCCGGTGATCAAACCCCAGGGCCTTATACATGCTAGGCAAACACTGTACTACTGAGCTACACCTTCAGCAAAAAAAAATAAACTTCTGGAAGAAAATTTTTTATTGTAGATTGGTGTGGTCTCAACTCCATTTAAACCCATACAGTCAGGGACAAAATTCTAAGATGAATGGAAATAACTGTTTTCAAACTCCACAAAGAAAAGAGAAACCAGAAGACTAGAAACTTGAATAGTTCCCATTCTTTCACTGCCCTACCATGATCAGTACAGAGCCTGTCTGGACACAGGGGATCTCTTCTGGCAGAAAGAGGTGGTCAGGCTGGAATGTCTGTGAGGTCCCTTCTGATCCTGATGTCACCCCTTCTGTGATGATCCAAATGTGCAGAATCACTGTGTGAGCAGATGTGTTGATGGTTCATAAACACTTGCCCTGTTTTCCTTCTCTTGGCCAACCTTTACCAGGGCCCTGGGATCATGCAAAGGGCTGAGGAGATAGAGGGGAACTGAACGCACAGCTTCTCAGTCTGTGTTCTGGAGAGGCTCCTCATCTTGACTGGGATTCTAATGTGCACTTAGAAGTCTGCACAGCCTGGACAAACTTGCTGAGGTTGTAGGAATGATTATATGGTTCTGGGCTTGGGCTGGGGGAATAACATTTGTTCTTTTTTTGGATTATGAAGTGCTCCAATGTGTTTTGTGAATCCACTACTTCTGGCTCATCTAAAGATTTCTATGACATAAAAAGCAACATGACTTTTTGGAGCTTCCCAAAGCATGGATGTGGTGACACAGATAATTAAAGCAATGTTAGCTCAGTTCTGCTCTGCAGAAGAATCTTGATCAAAATGCTGGTCAGGTTTTGGGGACCCCTGCTTTACCAATGTAGAGTTTACAAATATAATTAAGTGGTTCACAAGATTAGGTACACCATGAGAATTACAAACTTCAAAGTCTTATATGGGGCCAGACAGGTAATATAATAAAGGAAGCTTACCAGGCATAAGACTCTAGGAAGTGGTAGGACTGTGGCAAACTAGACAACACAAACTCTGTTAAAGGGGCATCTGCTTCTCAGCTCCAACGGAATGCTGCCAGGAATGTGGGCCCAACATTTGCCAAGTTTTTTTTCTTTTTTGTCCTTCAAGAGAAGCCAGAAACTAGGACCTGCGTATATGTATTTATGTGTACGTGTGAGTGTTTGCATATGCGCAATCCTTGTGTTTGTTTGTGTCTGATTGAACCCAGGGTCTTTGCATTCAACTATGCTTTCAGCCCCCTTTAAACATATTTTTATTTTGAGGTAAGGTCTTATCAGGTCACTAAATTGTCCAAACTGGGCCCAAACCTCTGTTTCTCTTGCCTTAGCCTCCCAGACTGCTGAGATTGTAGATGGGTGTCAGCACACCCAGCTAAACCTCTGTATTTTTAAGTGGTGGAAAATAATTTCAAATATAATCCATTTACAGGGCCTTCATTTATATCCTCTGTAATGCAAGGATGACAACTGACTTATGATGAATTTCTTTTCATGTATTTTAGAAAAATGTAAGCAGCACAGCAAACCAGTAAGTTTATGAACTTGGCAAACTTTTTCTCAGTTAGGGTAGGGGGAACTGCAGTTGCCAGATACAATACATTTATTTAAACGGAAAGGTGGGCTGTTCGAAAGAAGCACATGGAACAAAGAGAACAGCGGTTACAGACGTGGTGAGGCTGTGAAAAGGGCACTTGAATGAGTGGCACAGGGACATCATTGCTCAGCTGATGCTTTGTGCCTGGAGCTGGGCCTTTAGTTGGGCTGTTCTGGTTGCCTAGATATCCCAAATCGATTCTATGTTAGTTCTTTTTTTTTTTTCCCCTCCGGTACTGGGAATCAAACTCATGACCTTGCGCTTGCCAGGCAGGCGCTGTGCCACTGAGCTAAATCCCCAGCCCCTAATATTTTCTAAATGTTTACCTTTCATGGAGAAAAGCTGTAATTTGCATAGTGCCAGATCCAAGGAATAAAGTGACTGAGGATAAACGATGAGATTTTTACAAACTTGCCTTTCTGTTGCATGACACTCAGCAGCAGCATTCACTGCAGTTTTGATCATACGCTGAGAAGACACATTGGAAAGAGGACTTCCAGAGTTGCTTAAGAAAGTGGGAAGAATGATGGGATAAGTGCATTTGAAGAGGGGAAGTGTTTTTAGGAGGACTAGTGGCAGTGTGTCTTCTACTGTGGTAATTGTTTGAATTTAAATATTCCCCATATATTTCAGTCACACTTCATATAAACTGAGGCCCAGATGGGGAGTAGGAAGGGGAGGTCACCTTGAGATGGAGAGGAGCAGAGTCAGTGGTAGAAAGAGGGCTGGTCTGCTTCTGCCACTGTCCTGTAGGACACAACCAGTGACAGAGCCGAGGTTCTATGAGAAGAAAGGCAAGGGAAAGTAGAATAGTCATTCCCGCTGCACTGCAGAGCCTCGCCGCTGGCATGTTTTGGTGCCTGTCTCCCGTTCTCTACGCTCCTTAGCCCGTTCCAGTGCTCCTCTCTGGGGGCTCCTCTCTGGAAGCAGTCTGGCTTCTCACTGCACCCTGCAGCAAGAGCTCACTGAGTGTGGACAAATCTTACCCTGACCTACACCCACTCACAGAAAGCCTGAGCCAAAGTGACATCCGTGTTATCTTCCACAGGAAGGCAAAACTGCTGTGTTCAAAATGGGTGCAGCTTTTAAAGCCTGCCTCACAAATATCACACTGCAAGAGGGGCCACAGCTCTCTCTCAGCCCCTGCCTCCCTCGGAGGAAATTTCCCACTATTTCCTGTTTCAAGCAGGTTAGGAGGGTGTGATAGCTGCATTTGTAGCTGTTCTGGTGGCCACCCAGTCCTCTCCACTGTCCACCCATAGAAGTGTGTGCCTTTCTGCTGTCTTCTGGGACTGACTCTGGAAACCGTGATTGACAGGGATTTAAGCACCACTGAGGGAGTTCCATTAGGCTTGTGAGAAAGTTCTTGGGACACAAACCACCTTGTTTATTTGGCTTCTTAAGAACCAGTATGTGCCGGAATGCTGTACACCTACGAGAGGATCTTAGAATCCGGCCTGAATGTCAGTTGGAGGTGACTGTCCCAGAACTGATCCAAATGATAGGAAGAAGGGTGTTACCTCTTCTGTTCAGGCATTCTTGGTTAAGTGGGGCAGCGGTGTTTAGCGCCACCGGGTCATTGTCAGTGAAAACATGCAGCCAGCATTGTTAGGTGTTCTGATTTTTTAAAAGCAGCTAGGAATCAGGTACTTCTGGAAAAGCTCATACCTCATACATGTTAACAATTAATTCAAATAAAATAGACTGTGCAGGGGCTGAAGGTAGCCCAGGGGCAACAGTTTGTTAATTCTTCTTTTAATCCTAACTTTGGCAGCAAGTCTTCCGAGATTGCTTACTCTTTCTTTCTTCTCCACATCAGTTGTGGCCGGGGTGCTGCCTGGGCCTCCTTCCAGCTTGGCCCAACTGGACTCCAGGATTTTGGATCTCAGTTCAGCTGATGGTCCACGCTTCCTTCCACACTGAGGCGGTGTCATCAGGGCCATAGGAATGTGTGTTTCTTTAGTACTGTTGCCTCCTTTTCAAGTGTAATTTCTCTTCCGGTGTAATTTTGTGTGTGGAGGGTAGGAGATAGTGGTGAGAAGACGTCTAGTTTTTCAGAGGAAGGGAGTGATGTTGAGTGGGACCCACAAATGTCTGTTAAATGTAAAGTCCATTGGAATTTTGACCCTCAAATGCTAAATGGACTTCGAATTGAAACTCGCTTTATGCTTCAGATAGGACGTATTTAGCGGAGGGACCATCTCTTTTAAGCGTTGTTCAGAGTGCTCAGTCATGGGAGCTGGGAATCTGAGCTGACTCACTGTGTGACCCCAAGCTCTCTAGGAAAGGTTGGTTGCTAAACTCCCTTTTGTGTTGTATCAGAGGATGTTCATATAGCATCCAAAATCACGTTTATGCTTTGTAACGTTAGAATGAGCCTCTTGTTTCTTTTTTTAAATGTTGGTTTGGTGATCAAACCAAGGGTTTTGTGCATGTTAGGCAAGCGATCTACTACTAACTTGCATTTCCAGCCACAGAAAATGCAGTCAGTTCCAAATACCTTTGTATCAGAAAAGCCCACAGTGTGTTCTTATTGGGACCAATCTTGATAGCTTGTCATTTTGTTATTTAATTTTTCCTAAGAATTGCTATAATTTATTTAGCTTTGTTCTTCTCATTACGGTTTCTCCTCAATGTAAGATGATGATGTTTGTTTTTACTTGGTGGCTGCTACCACTAAGATGGGTAAAAAAACTCTCACCCCTGTGGGCAGCTTTAGGGCCCCTTACAATTCTAGGATCCCTCATAAAGTACCACTGAAACCTTAAAATAGGGGATGAAGATAGCCACTTTCTCCTTCCCAGCTCCCAAAAGGGGACTCTTATACTTTTTTTTTTTTTTTTTTTTGGTTTTTCTCTGGTACCGGGAACCGAACTCACGACCTTGCGCTTGCCAGGCAGGCGCTTTGCCACTGAGCTAAATCCCCAGCCCTATACT